CTGATTGCAATTCCCGCAGATAAACCTGCGTTCAATGGCTTAGAAGATACACTATGGCTAGTGATCCCATCTACTGATCTTCTAGTGGCTTGTATCTATCGGCCGCCCCGAAGTACACAATGTGCAACACAAAAGCTAATCGATATGATCAATGGTGCTTCTAGCACCACACACACAAATCCAAAATTGTGTGTGGAGATTTCAACCTACCACAGGTTAACTGGATGCTGCCTACACTCAGAAACACTGCGGAGATTGAGGAAATCATCTCATGTATTCACCTCAATGGCTGGACCCAGTATGTTAGAGAGCCAACCAGAAGTGCCACTACCTTAGACCTTGTATTCACGATGGAAATCTCTTACGCTTATACATTCATTGTTAATCCACTACCTGGCTGTGATCACAACACGGTGCTTTGTGATATGACTATAGATTCAACTAAACGACCAACTAAAATGTTAACACCCATTCGCAACCTCCATCTTGTGGACTGGAACTCATTTAACGAACTTATCAGTACCATGAATTGGAATACGTCATTGCTAACTCACAACCCTACTGTGGCTACAAATGAGTTTATGAACAATATTGCCCTTGGTGTGGATCTCCTGGCACCTACTGTATGGCGAAATACCCATGAACCTAGTGGTGAACTCAAGCTTGTGTACAAAGCCAAAAGCAAACTGAAAAAAACTCAAATCGCTATATCGCAGGAGCAACAACCTCGCAACATTGCTACAAATACACGAGAATTTACTACATTTACAACGTCTAACCCAAACGGTCAAAATCAAAGAAGAAAGTCGGGTACTCAGAAATCCTGAGAAAGTACGTACATTGATGCAACTATTTAAAAGTAGGAGCCCTAAACTACTTCAGGAAACTGAAACGTTGGCTCTAGACGATGGTTCAATAACGCGAGACATCTCCTGTATATGCGGGGCCATGAACTCTAGTTTTGCCTCCTCTTTTGTCCCTAACATTCAGCCACTTCATCCTCCACTTTCAAAAAGAACGACCGAACTATACTGCAATATCCCTGTGACGTTAACAGAGGTGCAAAGTACCATCGCAGCCATAAAACCATCAACTCATCCAGGTCCAGATGGCATCTCCCCAACTGTTATAAAACTCGGAGGAAAAAACCTCGCACTATTGTTACTAAACATTTTCACGCTTTCACTCACTACCGGATGCTTTCCAGCTCAATGGAAGCAATCCATTATAATGCCTATGCACAAGGGTGGACCGAGAAATCAAATGTCAAGCTACCGCCCAATAAATCACACCTCTGCTGTTTCCAAAGCCCTAGAGCGAATAGTCAAGAAGAACATCGTCCAATATCTTACAAGACTGGATCTGATCAACCCTTCACAGCACGGCTTTCTCTCAAAAGGCTCCTGCGTTACATGCCAGCTACAATTTCTCGATCACATCACGACTATGATTGACAGAGGAATGGCAATTATTATAATTCTGTTGGACATGCAAAAGGCGTTCGACCGCGTGCCACACCAGCCTCTGCTGTCTGCTCTAGAGTCATATGGAATTGGAAATCCGCTGCTTAACTGGTTCGACTCATACCTAAACGGTCGAACTCAGGTCGTTAAAATCGGTCAGCAACATTCTACACCGAAGCCAATAACCAGCGGTGTCTTCCAGGGAAGTGTACTCGGACCGCTACTTTTCTTAATCTATGTAAACAATATATGTGACGCGATCAAACATGGACATCCATTTCTGTTTGCAGATGATGTCAAACTGGTCTACTCATTTCATCCAGATCAACTACATGTGTGTTTGGGAAACATCTGTGAAGACCTATCCGCACTAAATATAGCTAGTGAGCGCTTATTAATGAAGTTCTCCGCAGTGAAATCCCAAGTACTTGGGTACAAATGCTGCATCCCAGAAGGCTCTATTATACTTGCTGGAAACGTGATCCCAACGTCTGATTCAGTTCGAGACTTAGGAATTAGGTACTCCAACTCTTTCAATTTCTCCGAACATGTTCTTTATCAGGTTGCGAAAGCAAGGCAGCTATGCGGATATATCACCAGAACTTTCTCCCTACCTGAAGTACGACTTGAATCATTCAAGACAAGCGTACGACCGACTCTGGAATATTGTACTATCGTTCACAGCCAATTGAGAAAGAAAGACAGAAGGGCTCTAGAAAATGTCCAGCGATCATTTACCAAACTGCTCATGGGACGCTGCTCAAACCTGACTTATTATGATCGCTGTCGAACACTCCAGCTGGATCCACTTTGGCTGAGACGCTTAAAGAACAACCTCGTTCTCTTCTACAACATTATAAACCAACGAATTTACGCAGACAACACCGCACTTGAACTACGGAAGCCTGCAGTCTACCCCACACGTAATGGCGGCTACTTGATACGTACAAACCTTTCAAGTCATAAAATTCAGTCGAATTTCTTCTTAGTGAGATACACTTATTTGTGGAACAAACTACCCTTACAGATGCGCATGTGTACAAGCCATGTCACTTTTCGAAATCTCCCTCAGACCTTCCTCACTATACCAAATGCTCTGAAGATATTTGACACAAAACAAACACTAGAAACATTGACAGAAGTTGGTATAAAAAACATTTGATAATAGCTTACAGCTAGCTTACCCACTACATGTCATTACATACCATACCAAATCCTGTGTCTGTGCAGCCTAATAGTCCCTTCGTTTATTATCTACTCCTGACGATACAAACATCCGTAAATTTTACATATGAGTTGCGCGGGTCTAGGACTCAAGGAAAAGTAATCATGATCCGAAATGCTATCAGTAAACTTTTATTTAATGTTATGAAACGTGTTCACTATACAAATGATCGCTCCCACTTATGGGGCCGTGTACCGTCCGTCGGTAAATATACAAATTTATTTATTTATTTATTTTATTCATTTAGCAAGTATTTAATTCGTCATATCCGTTTACTTTATTCGCTATATTTTATTTGATATCGTCATTTCGGGTGATTGGCTGTTGTTTGACATCCCAGGTGTGGCTGCGCTTGATGTGCATGTTGACAAGGTGCCTACCTGTCTATTACCCACTACCTCATCCATACTGGCTCCAGGTGACAGTTGGTCGTTGCTGTAGTGTGTGGGGTGCACGGTCCTCCCGAGCGTGTTAAACGCAAAGAGTGGTTCTTTGCACATGGTTTGTGTGTGGTTCGGGCTACGGCATAACTACCGCCTTGTGTGCGGTTGATTCCCCAACTACAGCGTGCTTGTGTTTGCCTGTGAAGGAGTGTGGACCAGCTCCGTTGATGAAACCTGACTTCCATCCACCTGCCTCCCGGTCTTATTCCTTCGGGTTTACACTGGATATGGGGTGTGTGGATGGAGCTGTGGGTGGTGCAGCGCAAGCCATCCATAGTCCCTCTGTAGGCGCATGCGTCGTGTGGCTGTCCGCTGGAGGCCAAAGTGACCGGCAAATTCCGAACCGGATGGCGCCAATCAATATATTCAAGAGGTGTGGTCATTATCAGCAGATTTGGAACTTGGGTGTCGTAGGTTGAGCACGACGCTGATATGTTGTCTGTGTATTTCCGTGACAGTACATATCAGTTGCGAGTGAGTGGAGCATAATAATTTGAGTTACCTTTGTCCAGTCTGGCCCATTGCGTGCGTGTTCAGCCAGCCTCTATGAAGTGCGACCTATGGTTTGATAAATGAGGTACATTCATCGATAGCACCAGTTTTGAATTTACCGGCAGTTTCCTTTTCATTGGACGGGGAGGAATAGGTTTTCCAGGGGATTGAAAGACAAAAAGAAGAAATAAATAAATGCTTTATTCCTGGTAGTGCGAGGCAAGCCTGCGAAGGCAGGATCTTGATAATACAAACAGGTATGGTCGATAACTGTACAAAAATATAGCAAGTTAACCAGTAACCTACTGAATTTGTATGTATATTTGTAGGTGTATGTATAAGTGGACATGGTGAATCAACTTGTGAGGTGTGACTGAATTCGTGAGCTTGTTTGCTGTGTTCGCCATCGTATGAAGGGATTAAAGGAAGTCGTCGAACTGGATGACGTTCCTGAAGTGATTAAGATCCTCCGGATTGGGATGAGGCAGTGACTTTATTTAGTGGCGAGTCACATCCGCCACGTCGGAGTTTTGTATGCAGACTTGTGGCTTATTCTAGGGTGATCGCTTACCATGCGAAAATCCACCACTTCCTGGAACCCTGCCGCCGAACTATTCGCTGGAACGGGATTAACCCGAACCATCCAGCTGACACCACGTGGAGGTTGTTCGACTAGCCAGCGAACGAGTCTGGGGAGCTGCCCGTTCCGTGAAAAAGTTTTTGTTTGTGGTGCCCTACCTTTAGCAATCGGACCGTAAGAGTGCGCTGTAGAGCCCTGTTTTCGTATGCTTTAGGTATGTTACACCCAGGCTTTAAAGCTTTCAAACAAGTTATGTGAGCTTTTGACCGCAGTAGGTTACACACCGGCAATGTTCAAGATAAGAGTTGGCGGGTTAACATCGTTTTGACTAAGGTCTGCGTGACTTTAAACGGTCTATGGCCAACTATTGAGCACCGGGCGATGCTCTTCCCACGTCACAGACAATGTGTGACACTCATAATGTGAGCTTTTGACTTGTAACCCGTTATCTTCCGCTGTTAAGTTTTGAAAAAAAGTGAATTATCTACCTCTCCTTTAGGTCCGAAAAGGATGTTGTGGTTGATTCGGTTTGACGCTTAACCATTGACCTATCTAGTGTGAAGGGCCTTCAAGATACTTGAAAAAGGACACATGGTGTAACTCAATCATCCACAGGGGTACGCATGCTATTACATCACCTTAACATACCGCCTCGTCGCTTCCTAATTGTCATCATTAATCTACCGTAAAATGCATCTGAATATGCATACCTTCGGTGACCCGTTATTAATTAGATCACTACTTTAAATTTTCACATTTGCTCAGCATTACCGACGATACCATGTTTTCTGTTCCAGAACTGCGAAATCACACATGCAAATACTGTGGGAAAGCGTTTTATCATCTGGGCTACGTCCGTATCCACGAGATAGCTGTTCATCTGAGTGAGTGTGACATTGAGTGATCGTTAGGTTGTAAATATTTGCCTTGTTGTACATCTGTTGTCCTTGCTAATAACCGAAACGTACTCATTCTCGTACAGCAACCGAGCGGTAGTAGTTCTTGTGTCCGCGGTATTCTACTCGGAGAGAGTGGATAGTCTATCCACAACTTGTCAAAAGGCTTGGAGCGTTGTGCTGTGCCCATCGAAATGCGGTTAAATCAGTCAAAGTTAACAACCGTTTTGTTGCGCAGAAATCTGATCTAAGATTAGATTGTTGAAATTAACTAAAGCCACAGGAGCAGTCGACTTTTTCCAGTCCTCTTCATTTTCGGGTAACCAGTTCTTACGGACTATTTACACAATTTATTATTAAAACGATCGGTGCCTTTAACTATCTCAACCGGCTAGCACTGTTTCGTTATTGGCCGGATTTTCGAACGATCAACTCCAAAGACTCGTTTGCGTTCGAAATACTGCAGTTGTAGAAGAATCAGTTTGTCCACAAAATCCAACTCACTAGCATCTCAATTATCATATATTGACTGTCGCTCGTAAAAGCCAGGTTCATGAAGAGCAAATCAGTTTTCGTCGAAGTTGAGACCGCATTGATCACGTCTTTACTCTGAACCGGTTACTGGAGCATCGACACATATATCGGAAACCCACTGTCGTCGTTTTCCTTAACATCACTGTTCCCATGCTTCGGGGAATCGACGTGACCTTTGTTACTGTTTGATCAACAATAAGATACCCGAGAAATAGGCAAATTTTATGATGTGGACACTTACCGTCAAGCGAGACCAAACGAAAGTGCCAGACAACTGAACTCCAAAAAGTCACACAACCAACTAGCGACCCAATGAGGCACGAAACAGCTTAAAGGTGTCGATAGTCTAGTCTGTTTGCAATCTAGGTGGGCATGCTAAGGAATAGAGATTTACGGCGTGAGTGTTCATCGACGTGTTAATTCATGCTGCCAGAATGTCAGCGAATAAGTGTCCACTGAATGTGTGACGTTGAATATGTACTGGAGGGTAGTAAGTGGAGATAGTCACAGTTAGCTACATGCTTGTTGTAGTATTTTTCCAACTAAAACGTTGGGCCAGGAAATCAACCCCAAATACTAAACTTAAAGGCAACGTGTTTGTACAGTCAAAACATCTGTACCACTGGGGATTAGCTTGCATGGTACTCGATAAAGAATCCACCAATATCTTCATTGGTAGCAAGGCTAGCGTATTAACCCCTCGGAGGGTTTGTGTTCAACACATCATTCCATCTGCTTCGCTTTCCTACTTTCCTATCTTTTCCTATGGGATAATCACCTTTTAGCATTCATTATTTCGCATAGGCGATGCTAGCATTTCTCAATTCCTTTAATGGCCTTGGTGTGCCGTAGCCGATATAAACCCTTTCCAACCTATCAATAACTGTTCTGCGTTTCTGCTCTCTGATTCTTCTGCACTTACTCACTTTTTGATTCACTGTCCAGATCACCGCCCCCATTCATGTGACCACTGCGACAGATCATTTGCAGAAAAGTGCGCTTTGCGAAAACATATCGAAGCCGTTCATCTAGGTGGGTGTGTGCTTACTAGTATCTTCTATCATCTCACCGTAATTGACCATATTGCTTTTCTTTGTTTGATGCAAACATGTATTACGTTTCTGTTGTTATCGTACTCACTGATCAGGGGCATCTTATTTCTGAGAACATTTCAATTTCCACATCAACTCATATGCTGTGAAACGAATGATCATATAGGATCGTTTGGCTTCAGCGTTTGTCTCATGGTAATTCAGAGACCTAATTTAGACTGTGTACCGCATGCTATTCACTCACCTTTTACTCCAGCTAAACCAACGCTGACTCCGCAACCATTTTGGCGGGCGTTGTTCGCAGACCTCGGCGATGTGTTTGTGATGGCTTCCGACAGCTCTCTTGACGTCCGGGGTCCGCGTTCCTTTTCCTTTATCTGGGCCGATCTGGTAAGGATCAGCGGGTAGCTTTTTTCTGAGTTCCCCACGACAAATCACATTCACTAGGGTTATCTTAGATCTACTTCGCCCTGCATAAATGATTCCGTTCTCTCAGCCACTTCCAGTTCGGAAGTTTTGCGGAGTGCTACATCCTGAGTATGCGGTCGACCGCTCTCCTTGGGTTGGATCCATCGGTTATGCAAGCACTACTGAATAGACTGACTACTAACGATACGCGCTTTGGAATGTTATTCGTACTTTCCAAGTGTAAAGTACTGTTGCAAGACTGGGTCGATACGCCACCGGTTCTGAGTGTCATCGGACTGCCACTGGAAGTGGTCGGTCGGTGCCTTGCTAGTTGCGCGTGTTCTTGTGATCATATCACTAGGAAATCGCCGGAGGATGATTCTGCTGCTGCAGCTCAGTCGCGGTGACAAGGGTCGCACGCTAAACACGCTGGTGTACTAGTGAACTTGTTCACTGCCATTCACCGCATCCTTGCTTCTAATGTCATCCCGAAGTGCTAAGATGCTGCGAGAAGTAGCTATCCCTAGATGATTGGCAGGTTTGTGAAAGAAAAGAAGTTTCGTTTCCAGTCACTAAATTAAACGTATTCTCACCCTATGTCGATTCAGATGAGTGTGTACACGATACTCATAGGTATCAAGAGTTTCTGCCGTCGCATTTATGTACGAGGAGATAAACGATCCCCACGAATAATCCCCGCGATTCGCAACCTACCGTTAGGGTAAGCGCAGGTATCCATCACAATTTGTCCGCTTTAGTTTCATCCGAACTCCGAGTGAGTGTAATATCACAGGGAGCGTTCTATGTTGACGGATATGACATTGTGTACAGACACTGAAAACTCTTATGTAGAATGGGACCCAAGGTTTGAAAGTGTTTTTGACCAGGTTAGTAAATAAATACTTTCTTTAATCTTTTATTTCTCCACATTGGGATTGACTGTCCTCACCTTTGACAGATCGTCGAATCTTTAGGTGTTGTTGTCGTTCTGATTAGTAAGCATTCGTCGCCAAATAGTTCGTTGTGCACGTAACGCCGAAATTGTCATTCGCAACAGTAATGGCAGTCCGTTTCTCTTTCCTATTTCATCCATATCGATTTTGCTGTGTACTCCTCAGCAGTGGGGCTTCGTACACAATTGGATTGTTGTATATGTTACCTGAAGAAGGAAGTCTATCGAATGTTCATGAAAGTAGTGGGATACTCTGGAGAATATTACATGCTACTGTAAGGACGTTCACGATGTCTTCTCGCGGTTGTTGCTGTTGCACGATGAACACGTTGTCTTCTCACCTGGCTAAGATGTTTGATTACTGCGGATGATGATATTTGTGAGATGGAATGAGTACCAAGACTGTTTAGAGAGGTAACGATTATGGGTTAAAAAGGAATCGCTTGCTTTCTCATCGGATACTTCGTTACAGTATTTGCACCTCCTATAAGGAGAAGCTGAGTAACGTAACAGGTGTAATGATGGTGGCAATGGATGCTCGGTTCGTTTCCTTTCTTCGGCTTCCATGGGAGTGTGTGCGTGGGGTCACAGGCGAGCTGGGTACTTAAAAAACATTAAACGAGCCGCAAGTGAGTTTTCTTGATTTCCCATTTACACTGTGCGGTCCCTTCACCGTTTCCAAATTCTTCACTCACCCTCCCTGTTAAGCTCAGCATCTTTGTGATGATGTTCACCTTTAAATTTCTCTCTTAAACCCAACTTTATCCTAATGTATTCTGACGGTTTGTATCAACTAATTTTAGAATACATTACCGGGAAAAATATCTTTTTCTTGATGCTGCACCTCGTCACCCAAGGTTTCTTTGCATTGTTTCTGTATTCGTACTGTTCAGTAGTAGCACGTATGTGGAGGCTGTTACATCAACATGCTCGTACTGGTTGATCATTCGATATCAGCCTAGTTCCATTCCGTTGAACGACTGGGATCTGGAACTGAATAGCGGCATATACGATTAATACAATTTTCCTCTCTAGAATATCAATAGATTACTGGCGAAAGTTGGATGCAAATATAATGTGAACAAAATAGAATCAAGGGGGAACTTTAAACTATCAGAGTGTAATGAACATTAACAGCTAAATGCAAGAAACCGAATGCAAGATCGCCCCTGACTTTGCGACTGAGCAGTGTCTGAAAGGGTCTCTAACCACTGGTGTGGACCATCCTGAGACCCTCATCCACAAAGACGACCTGCACCAGTCTGACCAAGTCTCTCCGTCAGTTTCTTCAAGCCTTTGTGCTACGTCATTCCTTGGGCATCTCTCGGTTTCGACCAACTTGGTGCAGCCATGGCGTATAATGCACGCAGGGAAAGTCGGCCAAGTTGCTTGTGGATGATGGCTCCATGATGTAGGACCGCACAAAAATTGCGCACGGCTAAGGACCTACAAACATTAATGTCCACGCGGATGAAAGCACACACGTAAAAACTCTACAAGTGCTTACTCGTTCTGTAGCGGGAAAGCGAAATATTCAAATCCCAATTATGATACCCTTGTGGTATCTCAAATACTCTATGGATGACACTACAACAATAAATAGCAATGTGTGTTGCAGTTACCTCCGCATATTTTTGTCAACCGTGGCAACTGGTCCGAAACAGTCAACGAAGGAACAGGAAGCGATAATATTTAGTTGGACTTTTCCAAGTTCTTCGATCGGTTGGACCATAGAGTCCTGCTTCACAACCCGTTAGCACTACGGCATCAGGCGTCCAGTAACAGAATGCATCGGTAACTTTCCCTGCGAACGGTAACTGGAAGTTAGAGTCCTCACATCTGTCTGTCTGGCCAAAGTGCAATGCTCGAAACTACTCAACGCCAAACAACGAAATTTGTCAAGGGTTTGCGCAACCATCAGTACCTGCAATTATTGTAGACACTTGGAGTGTTTAGTGGATGCTGCCATTGGCTACATGGATGCGTCATATTAGTTTACCAAGTTCTGAGCGATCCCAGTCACGTATGCCGCCACCTTTTGAAACTCAACCCGAACACCAATAGCTTGAAACTGAGTCAACGGTACAGTCGTCTAGGTTGTCGACGAACTTATTTCTCCCACCGGGTCTGCCAATCCTGGTACGCCTTTCCAAACTCAGTTGTCTGTGCCCCCACCTTCGCAGTTTTAAAAAAGCAACTGGATATCGGATAGAACGCTTTAGGCTTTGTTAAAGGATTGAATATTCTGGAGATATTCAGGCTACAAAGCCTCTTTGACATTCTGATCCGCAGTGCAGCACGTAAATCTGGGCAGATGCGTGAGCAATCTGCTTGTTATTTGCCATGTATTTTAAACAGGCGTGCCCCATGCTGAGGCTGATGTTGCATTCTTGATGCTTCTTCACCGCAGTTGGGCTAAACCAACTTAAACTAGGTCTTTTTAACCTGAATGAATTTCATCCCACTTTATTTGGTTTGTTCTGCCTACCTGAATAATCTTCTATTAACTGACTACGTTGCTTACACTAATTGCGCCTATCTTCGGTAACTTTGTTGCGTTTGTAGCATTTTTAAGTGACTTGTGGACATTTTTTCCTTAGGGTGGATTCGTCGCTAACCAGCTTACTTCATATGCTAATTTAGTGAAGAGTTCTGCCACCGTATCTGGATGCATTATTGGATTTCTTTTATTTCAGCTTGTCGTTTAAAGTGAATGGCTGTTGCTTGATATCCCCGGTGTGGCTGCACATGATGTACATGTTGACAAGATGCCTACCTGTCTATTACCCACTACCTCGTTCATACTGGTTCCAGGAGACAGTGGGTCGTTGCTGGAGGGGACGGTGTACACGGTCCCTGTGGCCGTTCTAGGCTCGAAGATCGGTTCCATACACTCAGTGTGGAGCGGACTACGGTCCAGCCACCGCCTTGTGTGCGCTTGGTTCCCAAATACAGCGTGTTTATGTTTGCCTGTGAATGAGTGTGCGCCGGCTCCGTTGATGAAACGTGTCTTCCATCTACATGCCTCCCGGTCTTATTCCTTCGGGTTTACACTGCATATGGGGTGTGTGCGTGGTGCAGCGAAAGCCACCCATGGTCCCTCTGTAGGCACAGGCGTCGTGTGGCTGTCCACAGTGACAGGCAAATCCGAGACCGGATGCCGCCAACCATATTAAACGTAATAATTTGTTATTTGCTTTTGTCTGGTTCTATCTCACTACCACAACTCTACTTCTATACGCCTTCACTCGCTTTACCGATGCGTATTTTACTTTGTCCACTTACATGTTGTTCGAATTTCAATTTCTTCTATTGCAAACCTACGGGACACGTTAAGCCTGGGCTCTTTTACCCGTCATAAACCATTGTTTCACTGTTTACCTACAAATCGTGGAATAAATCGGCTACACATACAATCAGATTGCAACGTCATTGGTCAAACACTGGCGATCGACGGTCATTTGATGCCAGGTTAACTCCTTTACATTCAGAAGCCTCTGTACCCTGACTACCGTGGTAAACTGAAGGTCTGCGGTAAGCTGTCTCTTGTGTTCCGCACGATTACTGCTGTTCCCCGTGGTTGTCCTATATCCTCTTTCATCTTGAATTTTGTGATTGAA